TAAGGTAAGCCATCTGCATTTCAAAAGTTCCAAATTGTTTTATTTCTTTATCTTTTATCAAAGAAACATTTCTGCCTTTTGGGCTAATAACATTCTTCTTTTTTTTTTTCTTTAAGCAAATTTCTTTCTGTTTTCTGTTTTTTATCTACAACATTTAAAGCTGTGTTACCCTCTGACTTTTCTTGGGTGTTCCATGATTCTGTCAAATCTTATTTTAGGCGCAAATCTTCCACACATCTAGTGAAAGGGTTGCATCCCTGTGTTCCTTATTTGACCTCTAAGCTGATCTTTTGACTGCTCCTTGAGCTTCTACATGCCCTATCACATGCACATGTCCCAAGTTCACTGCCTACTACCCACTGATTATTGTAAAAGTGTTGTGAAAAAAAAAAAACAACAAGTCAAAGAAAAAATGTACCAATTAAAAGAGCATAACAAAATTCAATCAAGAGATGGCTAACTATCATTTGCTTGTCTGACAGAAACTAAATTATCACAGTAGCAGGTTTTATATCCCATTTCAATCAGTGATACTCAATCTGTTGTTACATTTAATGTATGAACTATGTATGCAAATGTAACAATTATTACGGGACATAAGTAATGATAATATCTTTTTTTTTAAATCATTTCACCCCAAACAAGGCAATAAAGCCACTAAGACAAGGGGTTACTGAGTGTTAAAAAATATGAGAAAAGGAAAACATTATTAAGGAGTGAGGAAAATAAAAGAAAAGGAATCAAAAAGACAGTAGATAACAATTGAAATTGCATCTAAATTTTTGAAAATCAAAGTTGACTGGAAAGCAAGAAGCCAGAAGAGAGTTCCACAAGTGAAAAGTGTGAGAAAAGAAACTGTTACCATAGAAGTTACAGTTACATCTAGCCATTTCAACTGTAAAATTAGAAGACTTTTGTTGTCACTCTAATACTGCTCTTAAATTCATAATGTCTAGGTACCATAGAATAAAGTTCATCAGAACAATCACCAAGAAAGTATTTATAGAAAAGGCACAGGAAAGCTACATTATGGAAAGTGGCCGAAATTGGAATGCCAGGTTAGGACCAATAACATTTCAGCTTCTTCTTTAGACTTTATCAAGAAATTCCAGTCAAGTTTGCTGCATTCACTTTCACACTTGGGAAAGGCATGACTCAATCTCTTCTCCCACTTCATTTATGATTTAAATTGCAGAGCAAATTGGGCCCTGTAGCCAGGGTTTGCAGCTCGTCTAGACAACTCTGAATTCAAAACCATATGTAGCACTTGTGAAGCTTATACTATACATCCATAAAAAGGATTACAAAATTTATAATTATTTGATGATCTGCAGTTGATAAGGTAGGTTATACACCAATATGGTTGATTATTTACATTTTTTTTTTGAATCAATTCACCCCATGCAAGGTGATAATGCCACTAAGACATAAGGGGCTACCAGGAGTGAAAGAGGAGAAAAGACTTTAGAAGGAACCAGAAACCCAATCCTAAAAGGAAACAAGGGATAAACCTCTGCTCCTATTCAAAAGACCGGCATGCATGTAAACAATTGTCCACATCTTTGTTGGTATTATCACAATGTTTCAAGCTGAATGTTACTTGAATCGACAAGAAGCAGTAGTCCACATGTAAATGCAGAGTTCAGTTCAAAATGCCCTGAACATTATTTGAATCACCAAGAAAACATAGTCCACATGTAAATAAAAATTTCAATTCAAAATGCCCCGAACATTATAAGAATCAACAAGAAATCGTAGTCTGTATGTAACATCTTATTCTTCAAGTCTTGACAATATTCTTTTAATGCCTGGCTTTTTCAGAAGCAAGCAATGTTAAACAGACTGATTCAAATTTATATTTGTATCAAAACATTGTCATGATGGCCTAACATTGTGGTCAATGGGAAAATCACCTCTTTTTCAAAAAAGGACGGTTTACCAAAGAAAAGGAAAAAAAATAAATGTTTTACATTATGTCTTACATCAAATATTTTTTTTTTTATCCTTCCCAACTATTGCAACTAATCACAAAATTGACTTCCACAATAAAAGCTGTTGCTTTTCCTGACATGTGCAATGTATTTTTGCCATTTAGGAGTTCACTGTATTTGGATCTGAAAGTTTTTTTTTTTGTTTTTTTTTTTTTTTGCCTCTTGGACTTTTGACATGCGATTCTGATTTTTGACAAAATTATTTCTTGCCTTTTGAATTTGAGAAGCTGGATCTGAGATGCAGACTTTTTCGCTGGCCTTGTTGTTTTGGACATTTGTTAACCAACACAAACATATGAACTAAAGACATTGACATCAATATGATTGGCTATTTATTATCTTGGAAAAATGAAGAAAAGCAATAAGTTTTTGACCTTTTTATTAATCATTTCACCCCAAGCAAGGCAATAAAGCTACTAAGACACAAGAGATGAAAGAATTTTTTTTTAAAAAAAAAAAGAAAAACATTATTAAGAGGAAGCAATAAAAAAACAAGAATCAAGAAGATAGAAGATAACAATTGACACTGCATTTAAATTTTTGAAGATGAAAGTTGACTAGAAAGCAAGAAACCAGTAGAGACACAAGGGGAGTGTGAAAGAATAAGAAAAAATAAGATACTATTAAGAAGAGAGAACAATAAAAGAACAGGAATTAAGAAGACATAAGATAACGATTGACATTACATTTAAAATTTTGAGGATCAAAGTGGGCTGGAAAGGAAGAAGTCAGAAAATAGTTCCACAAGTGAGAGAAAGAACTGTCAGCATAGAACTTAGTACATTTAGCAATTTCCACTTCAAAATTATGAGACCTATCTGCCAATCTAGTACTAATGTCAAGATAGCAAAGACGAAAGCTCGTCAGAACAATTACCACAAAAATATTTATAGAAAAGGCACAGAGACACTATGTTACAGCAGTGGTAAAAATGACTGAAGCCAAGATGCCAAGTCTAGGCTGATAAGATTGCAGATTCTGCTTTGTATTTTATCAAGAATCTCTAAATAGAGTCAAAGAACCAGGCCAGATATGGCAGCAATATTTAATGCATAGATGAATGGCAGACAAGTAGAATGTGTAAAAGATTCTAGCAAGAAAACTTTTAATTTTCTAAGTTCCATAATTAGGGACTCGAAAGATGCATTGAGCAAATTAAATTTAGACTTCACCAAACAGCAGAGCCTATGATCAAGGTATAAAAATATCTCACTTACCTGTCCATTACTAGAGCTGTGACTGGCAGTGACCACTGGTATTTCCTGTCCAGGTTTATACTCCACAGCAGGTCGATTTTTTGTTGCTGGTAGTTGAGTACCACCACTAAGCATAAAAAGACGAACCTTTTTTGCATGGTTCTTGCCATTATAATGCTGGTCTGATTGGATAGCAGCATTCATTGCAACATTACACAGTTTACACAGCATTGGTTGCATAAGTTCTTTGAGAATCTTCATTGTCAGGTGCTCTTTCTCACCATTCTCAATGTCCTTTTTGTCTGGGGAATCAGCCTCATCCTCTATCATCTTTTCATCTTTCTCTGTCATTGTGTCAGTGAGGGTATTCTCATCAGCAACCTCACTATCTTTTGTCCCTGGTGTCATTTCAGTTATCATCGGCACTGGTGATGACACAGATGCAGATGAAAGGGGCTCAGCCATTTTGTTTGTATCCCCACTCCGATCATCATTGATTGTCATCTTATGAACATTGTTCAGAGAATCAGCTTCAGTCAAGCTACGAATTACACTCTGAGTCACAGTATTTTGCAAGCTGCTCTCACCACCATAGTTTGACTTGATTTGTTGGTAGCGATACGGAGAATGATTTTGTTGCTGCTGCTGAGATTCTTGGTATTGATCAAATCGTGTTTCCGGTATCGTCGTTTTACGATACTGATACTGAGGCTTAGTACCTGTTTCTGTGAAATGCGATTGGTAGTGAGTCTTGGTGTTCGACTGATATGAAGTTTTGGAGAGTACGGTTGGATATTGCGGCTTGGCAAGACTAGTGGTCGGCTGGAATTGTGGCTTGTTACCTGGAGAATACAGGCTCTGCGGTTTTATTCCACCTGAATACTGAGTCAGCAGTTTCGGACTGTTCTGGAATTGGTTGACTGGCTTTGTGGTATTTGGAAATGAAATCAGCATTTTAGTTCCTGTCTGATACTGAGTTTGTGTCTTTGTTGCACTTTGATGTAAACTATGGTGTTTTGTGTTACTCTGGAACTGTGTTGTCGGTTTACTCCCAGTTTGGTATGGGGTCAATGTCTTGGCTGTAACTGAGTACTGTGCTGCCAGCTTGGTACCACTTTGGTACGGTGTTGGGGGCTTTGGGGTCGCTTGATATGTGGTCACTTGTTTAGCATTTGATTGGTATGGAGATGGAGGCTTTGTATTTGCCTGATATTGTGTGGGTAGTTTTGTGCTTGTTGGGTACTGAGTTGGAGGCTGGTACGTTGTTTTCAAGGTATTGTTATCTGGGTATGGTGCCTGGTAAATGGATTTATTTACTACTTCCTTATACTGATACTGTGAGTCACTCACCGAATCCTGATATGAATAATGTTGCTGTTGACTCTGTTGTGTGTGCAGGGTTGGCTGTTGGGCTGGGGTATGATATGCATCTGCCTGAGTGGGAGCTTTGATGCTATTGCTTGTATCATTTGTTGGGTAATAACGAGATTTAAGCAATGGCCGATACTCAGTCCCAATCGTAGTACGTGTAGCAACCGTTACATTTGGATAAGTTGTGTTGTGCGCACTGTAGCTATAAGCTTGTGGCTGTTGCGATTGGAGTGGTGCATGATTAACCGGGCTGGTTGTGGTGACTGAGATCGGTTGGGGTCTTGCCTTAGCGATCTGTGACCCATATGTTTGATAGGTTTGAGGTGGGGGCGGAGGAGGCTGTTGAGGAGGGGGCTGTTGTGTGTGTTGTTGAGGTTGTGTTTGCTGTGGGGCTGCCGGCTGAGTTTGGTAGACTGAATGTGCTTGAGGTGCTTGTGCTGGGCTCGGAACCGGGGGTTGGGTTTGGTAGACTGAATGCGTTGTTGGTTGGTGTGCTGCTGGCTGGGTTTGGTATGCAGTGTGAGCTGTGTGCTGAGGTTGGTATGCTGTGTGTGTTGGCTGTGGAGGTGGTGGTGGCGGTGGTGGTGCCTGGGTTTGGTAAACAGAATGGGCCGTCTGGGCAGTGGTTTGGGGGGTCGGGTATGCATGGGTCTGGCTGTTGACAGTCACACTGTGCAGTTGATAAGTCTGTTGTTGTGGTTGCTGTTGTTGTTGTAACTGGTGTGCTGGTTGCACTTGGTATTGTGGTGCCTGGTGTTGAGTGGGAGGTATTTGAGGTGGAGGAGGTGGTTGGGTCTGGGCAGGCTGGACCATGGCTGTCTGCCCATGTTGATGGTACCCACCATAAGTAGTGCCTGTATAGGTAGAGGCCACTCTCTGATAACCAGTATGTGGTTGACCATATGAGGAGTAACCTAAGAAAAAAAGAAATGGAAAAGAATTCTTCAGTACAAGAAGACAAAAACATTTCAAAAGATCTTCTGTATCAATTGTTCAGCAGTGCAAAACTCAAGTGAAATATAACAAACAAAAAATCATAAATTTCAGCAGAATGAATTTTGAAAAGTAACTTTTATGAGAAATTAGCATATTAATAACAAATTACCATAAGACACTAGTATATTAATTAGTATATTAATAAGAAATTAGCATACTATATTAGCAACTAGTATATCAATCACTAGCTTAAAAGCTGCCCTATCACTTAAGCTATCTCTAGCGGAGGGCATTTGATTGGGCCTCCATCAAAATAGGTAGGGGAGATATGCAAAAATAAACAACAGAAAAACTCACAATTGATCCCTGCATTTAAGTATTGCTTTAATATCTAAACTTACCTTTTAAAAGTTCAATGATAATTCTTCTGCCACCACTTAATTTAGAGACAATTTGATGTATGTAGGTCCTTACTTTCTGTACAAATATTTTATTTCATGGGTGACTTTCACTGGATTTTGCAATTATTTTATTCCTAAATTTATTTCCAAATTCTAAAAATTTATTGCAAAAATATGTAAATAAAAAAAAAAAAAAATATTAAAAAAAATCATCAAAAACAATTGCAGTAATGAAAAATTGAGAATCCAAAATTTCCGGATTGCGGTTCTGGATCTGTCCCAGAATGATTTTAATTTGCTCACAGAGTCAGCCTGATTCCAAAATGGTATCATATGTTGGGCTATGCCCGCTAGGAGTAAAGTTGAAAACATGGATAATTTTATTTTGAAACACTAATTTGAGAACAGTAATTTTTTCATTTGAAGCAAGCTACTGAAAGAGTTGTGTCCCCTGAAAAAGTGTGATACACACTGACATTCACATTTATTATATAGATTTGAGAAATAAATACATTTTAATAAACATTATTAGGGATTTAAAAAAGACATTTTAAAAGTATAAAAAAATATAAAACAAACAGAAAGGAAGAGGAAGGGGGGAAAAACAATTACTCACTGAAAGTGGTTGATCAAAAAATATATAACAAAAAAAAAAAAGCAACCAGTTATCAGTTATATGATTTTGTCCTCATTTGATACTGAAGAGTGAGGAGCAATAACCAGTTAGATTTTTTTGTTATTTCTTTTTTACTGTCATATATTACTCAATCCACCATTTTACAGTGAGTAATTTTTTTTCTTCATGCACTTTCAATCGCCTTATTTAAATATTTTTGTATACCTTTATCTTGAAAAGGTCCATTTTTAAAGCCCTAATAAAATTTGGTACTCTTCATAGTTTATTTAGTAAATATTGTTAAGTTATATCATTAAATGTTAACAATAAGGTTCATTTTTTATATCATATTTAATAGCATAAAAGTTATATTAAATAATACATAATAATAATAATTTTAATAATATACTGGTGGCATAGTATTTAGATGTGAATATGAAGTAAACTTTGAGTAAAAACCTGTTAAAAACAAAACATATATGTTTGATATATTATAATAACTTTTAATGTAATGTCTATTAAAAGCTTTTGTAAATTAATTATTAATTAATTCTTTTAATTAAAACTTTAAACACTATTTGCTAATTACATATTTGGGAATTTTGAGTACAATTGTCAATAATGGAAACAAGATTGTTTGTAATTTGCCATTGAAAAAAAAAGTTTCTGTCGGATGACACTCCTTGAGTCTTGCTGAAGCAGGTGTCACCATATCACAAATAGACTTGGACTGCAGTCAATTAATGTAAGGTGGTGTTGTCCACTGTAATGCATAATGATTTCCCAAGCAGATCCAGATTTCAGTTACACTTAAGTTGCCTTGTGACCAACAGCTTGAGGCTGGGTCAATCAACTGGCATTCCTTACATTTTCTGACCACTGCCCTGACAACAGACTTGGATGTCAAAGGTTGAACTCTTCTCACAAAATACAGCATCCACCTGACATCTACTCTGGCAATGTATGACACTTATCTGATTTGGAGAGGTCTCGTTCACCATGAAAGCACATATAGGTCATGCTGGTTCGACCACTTTCTTGATCACATCATACCATTGTTGTGGTACTCTTGTGAGCTTATCTGCTCAATTCTAACTTGATATCACTAAAATTATGGTGATCAATAATTTATACTCTTGGACCAGCTTTTCAAGAGTACTCAAATGCCTCCAGATCAGCATCTCACTTGCTGCCTTAGTTTGTATTCTGGCTTTGCCAGCGAGCATGTTCAATACCCACTGGTGCACACATGCAGAGTCTGTGAAGAGATGCAGCTCTGTTGTGCCCCACTGTAGTGCTAAATTGACTCCCTCCAGGATAGCATCCAATTCTGATATGTTGTGCATCTTTCACAGGCCGCAGCCAACATATATCCTCTACAACACACGTGCAAAGTCATTCTGACATATTCTTGCTGCTATGTCCTCAATCATGTTCTTAAGGGGAACATCTGTCATTTAATCATCCCAGCCAGACATGATTGACAACATTCTGAGTTTAACAAATGATGCAGCAACATGAAGCCAACCACACACATGAAGCTTTCCACACCACAAAATGTTGCATCATGTCAGGACCTCAAGAACTTGCTTAAGTGGAAATGTGAAAATGACTTTCTCTCAAATGTCATTTTCACGTTTCCATTTAAGCAAGTCGTTCTCCCACTCGAGATGCAAACTCAGTACACAAGTGCCGTACTGTAACCTCACCAGATCCTTGCAGGTCACACCAAAAGCAACCAAGTGTTCTTTCACGTAATCTGCTGAAATCATGCTCTCGTCAACGTAAATATCATCAATATATGATGAGGTTGCCTATCGAACGGATTCATTTTTTGATAATGCAGTGTTCACAATAGCCTTCATTATGGATAGTGCAATATTCCACCTAAAACCCAGTCATGTCAAGCAATATCTTGGCCCCTTGAAGATCACAGTTTGAAAAGGCCAAAGTGACTTGTGGATATGCATTTGTAGACAGACTTGCTATAGGTCAAGGATAGTGACATCAGGCCCTTTTTGGTGACACTCCCACAGTTTCTGTGCACACATGTCCGCATTGGCTGTGTATGCATCTAAGCACTCATTCAGCTCCCAACAGTCTAATACTAGCTGCACTTTATTTTTGTTTTTCTGCCCCACTGCCATCAATAGAATTAAACCTTTTGGAGGACAAAGTTCCTTTTCAGGAGAAGGCTGCAACCAACCATTATCAAGCCAGGTCTGCAGCACATGGTCATATTCTTCCTTGACACCTTTTGTTATTGGATACTCATGCATCCTCTTTTGCTGATTCTCCAGTGACTGACCATCTCATTACTTCCATGATGCAAACCTATATCTTCTTGTTTGTGTCAAATTTGGCACAGAAATTGGGTTCTTCTATTTTAATAGTGGCACAATAAGCCATCCCACAATTGGGAAACCACACATTGCTACACTCCATTATTTGGAGTCTGCATAGCTTTTTAATAGTGTCAAACACAAGCAATGGGTCAAAACCCAATAGCTCTCCTTCCACTACCAAGACTTCAATGTCAAGGGGGTTTGCATGGTCTACATCAAGTTGAATATTTCCAACACCACTGCATTTGAGGGTGTTACCATTTATGGTAAGTACATCCACCTCCATCTTCTGCCAGGATCAACAGGCTGACTTACTTCTGAGTGTCTGTGAGCAGCCCATATCCATTAGCACCACTCTCTTGATTCCATTCATATGAAAATCTAAAACTGGTAGCACCTTATTCGTAACTCACTTGGGGAAAAGACTGGTGCTGACATCTTGTCCCTTTCCTCTTTTCTCTGGACACACTGAAGCAATGTGGCCTAAGCCATGACACTGGAAGAAATGCATCATTGTGCATGTCCTGCATGATTGATAGGCATCTTCTTGTCGAACCAGGCAGCCCTTGGAAATGTGATTCCACCTAATGCATTGACAGCATCACAGACTATCATGACATTTAACATTTGGAAGTTTGTCAACTGATACTCCCATTGGTGAAATGCTAGCTACTGCTATTTCCTCAGTCACAGTCTGATCCTTTATTATGAGCTCGGTTCAACAGTTGAGTTGTAGTCATGTCTTCCATCCTGGTGCACAGTAGTTGCTTAACATGTCCTTGTAACCCTGATGTGAACGCATGTGCTAGTCCTTGCTCAGATATCCCACCAAATTGTCCTACTAGTTTCTTCAAATTGGCTAGAAACACGTTGACAGACTCATCTAGACATAATCAGCACTCCACAAACTGCTTGTAGGCTGCATGACTCAATTTATCTGTTTGGCATCCACATTTTGCTCTGTACATAACTGCTGGCAGGCAGCAAATGTACTGCCAGTCAAAATCAAGGGAAGAACATGTTCAACTTTCTTGATTCCACACAGATCACAAACAAGTTCTGTTTTTTCAATCCATTCAGTAACTGCTTGTCTGGTCACTGAGCCATCAAATTTGGGTATCAACTTTAAGTCAAATGTCCTATC